CCGTGCAAATATAAAGGGGTAATTTTAGGAACCCAAAGCATGGTTTGGATCCAATATTGGACAAAAGTCTGTTTGCAGGTGTATGAAATCAAGCGTGAATTAAAAGAATGATGGAAACCAAGCAAGCATATTTGCTATTAAAGGGACTAAGCCTCACTTTAGGAACAGTACCGCTAGATTTGTGCAATTTTTATTCTGAATACCTGAATTCTGCCCTAACCACCCAGTGAAAGCCCAATTTTGTCTCCGTTTCTTTTACTTATGGGCTTTTCCCTGGGAGAGGCTTCCGAAAAGCATTAAAATCGCTTGAGGTTGCATGGTTTTTGTACAAAAAAAAAAAAAAAAAAAACTTGCGTGCAAAACTGGATAGGCTGCTAGGAAAAGCATTTCAGCCACTAGTGGGCTGGCCCGGAAACATCTTCCAAAAAAAAAGACACGCAAACCACAAGAAAATACAAGCGGATTTGAAAGCTGTCAGGGTGCTGGGCAAACTCCCCTTGCTTGCCTTGTGAGCGGCGTGGCATGGACTAAAATAGGAAGCTGGGAAAACTGCTGCCAAATGAGGCAGGCTCCAAATAACTTAAATAATTTTATTATATATGGTCAGAGGGCCATGTAATCAGATGATTAATGGGTTTGTAAACATGTTTAGGAGGTCTCCTGAAAAGGAGACCAGCTCTTTGGATTGTCCCTCCTGTTATGTCTAGAAAACAGAAAATTGAATACAATCTCGGCAGCTGACTGTGGCTCAGTAAATTAACGCTGGCTGCTAATTGCGGAGGGCTGCCCGTCTCCTCAGGGAGGGTGAGGCTGTGGCGGGTGGGCCCCAGGGGGATTTGTGGGGGAGGATGGAAGTGGTGAGTGCAGCTGTGGGATGCGATTCTGGGCAGAAGGGGGGAGGGAGCACCCCTCACAGCGCTCAGTAACCGGGCCGGGAGCCATGACTCCCAAATCAGATTTTTTATTTTTTAATATTTATTTATTGGAGGGGTGTGTGGGGGGGTTAAACATGGCGCCGGGGGGCGGGAGACTACAACTCCCAGCATGCCCCGCGCGCGGCGGAGGCCCACCCCCCACCGACACCGCCGCGCATGCGCAGTGCGGGCCGGAGGCTGCGAAGCGGCGGCGGCGGCTGAGGCCATGGCGCTGAACAGGAACCACTCGGAGGGCGGCGGCGTCATCATCAACAACAGCGAGAGGTGAGGGGGGGGCCCCCTCACGGCCCCGGGGGGCGGCCATGGCCCCCTTCCTCCCCCCCCTCCCCTCCCCTCCCCTCAGGGGGCCCGGTGGGGACGGGAGCGGAGGGGGCGAGAGGGGCGGGGCCAGAGAGGGTCACGTGACGCGAGGGGGGGCTCGCGCACCCCCCGCCATTTTGTGTATGGGGGGGGTTTAACCCTTTCGGTGCCGGGCTGCTGCGTGAGGGGGGGGATGGATAAAAGGGTGGGGGCAGCCCCGGTTTTGGCACCCCCCCCCGGTTCCTGAAGGCCAGGGAGGGGACGGGGCTCTCCCCAACCCCCTTCTTGTGCCTGAGGTGCCCCAGCCCCGTGGCTTTGAGACCTTCCTCAGTCCCTCGTTGTGTAACCCAGGCTGGGCAGCGCCTGCCTCAGCGGCCCCTGCTCTGAGGTGGTGGGGGGGGGGGGGCGCCAGAACATAATAAATAAATACATAAATAAATAAATGCCAGCGCTGCTGACGTTGCTGCAGCCAACAACAAACAACAAAAAGTGTCATCAGACCGATTTGTGTCTGCTCAGCACTGCCCTGAAGTCACACCCAGCTGTGGCAGGTCCCTAAGCTGTGTGCATTTTGCACTTCTGCCTCAGCTGTAACACAATATCTCTTCTCCTGTCTTGTTCACAGTGTTTTGATGACCTATGACCACGTAGAAATCACCTTCAGTGATATCGAACCCATGCCAGATGCCTTCAAAGGGACCAAGAAAGGGAGTGTTTTCTTGACTCCCTACAGAGTAAGTAGTGAAAGGCTTTATCTTGCGTGAGGAGATAGATGTTCTTCATGGTTCTGTATTTAAATGCTCTCCACGCATGAAAGTCAGGATAATCTATTACTCCTTGAAGTATGGCTCATCCTCTCCCTCTGGGGAGCATTATGAATACATTGCATATCCTGTCTATTCGTCAAAAGATAATAAATCTGATTACTTCTTGTACAAGCAGCTGTTTAGTCCATTAGGCAGCTTCAGAATTGGAAATTAGCAGTGGTCTGGAAATGCTGAATGCAACGGTTCAGCTACTAAATCATAGCTGTGCGGAGCAGCAAGTTCTCTAGAAATTGGGAGGAATATTATCTTAGCAAGTGTAATCTTTCTGGATGGCTTCATTGCCTTGAGGCTTCAGTTTACCCTTGTGACTGTTCCGTGTAGCTTAGGGCTTGCAGAAATGACAAGGATCTTTAAGTGTGGGAAGCAACTTCAGTCCATCGAGAAGTCTCTTCAGATAATAAACTGGGGCTGCGTTTCCTGTTTGTTTTAAACACCCTTTGTAATGTTACTTTCTTTTTTTAGGTTATCTTTGTATCGAAGGGAAAGGATGCTATGCAGTCTTTTGGGATGGCCTTTTATTTGTTGAAGGATTGTGAAATTAAGCAACCTGTCTTTGGAGCAAATTATATCAAGGGTACAGTGAAAGCAGAGGCGGGAGGTATGTATGGTACTGATACGCAGTTAAACTAAGATACAGGATGTATAGTTTGTAGTGAAATAAGTATGCAGTGCAACCTAAACTTGGATACTGACCACATGGGTTCTTACAGTACTGCTAAAATGCGTCTTTCTCTTTGAAACCAGCAGCTAAAAATATTCCCCTTGTCTGCTGTCTGCACAGTGACAATGAACAGATCTGTTCTGGAACTGATCTCATTCCTGCCCTCTGTACAAAATCCTGAGTTCAGTCAACCAAGTGATCTCACTGAGTAAACATCAGAGCAGAGAGCAGGCTGCGATGGCAAAACGGAGGATGTTGTTTAGCTTTGGTCACTTGGGCTTATTTCTTAGTTCTGTGTCCAGATCCTGTGACAAACAGGCCTGATCCTTTCTGGATCTATGTGGGTTTTGAGGTGCCAATCTCCAGAGCACTGCTCTCCGTTGTTTCCTGTGAAATTCAAGGAAAAGCGTGTTACTGCCGTAGTGCATCTTGGAAGTAAAATGCCACGTGATTGGAAAAGAATCAACTATCTTGACATTAGGGAATCTTCAAGTGGCAGTTTCAAACTTTCATATTATGTTCAATTGGAAGATTCTGGTAGACTTTTTCTCAATTTTTTTTTTAATCACTCTCTTGTACTTCTGCTTTTTACCAAGGTGTAGATCAGTAAACTCTTTTTCATCCCCAGCCTGATTCATTTTATTAGCTGTGTCACTGCAATCACAGCGCAGTGCTTAGGAGACTTCAGTCTATTACCCTGAAATCAGCATTACAGCTTCTGTATGGGAGCACAACGGGACCGTCCAGCGTGAGAGAAAGGCCGAGCAGTAAGGACAAACACTGTAAACTGTGTGAAAGGCAAACTGTTCCAGCTAAAAGCTCTGCGAGTTTTCCCCAGAGGCTGTCTCCTTTAATGAGGATGTTGCTTTAACAGCCACAAGAGTCTGGTTTAGCTCAAAAGGTTCTTTAATCTACACGTCCCTGTTTCAGCACTGACACAGCTACTGCTTTGAGGCATTGTTGGGACCGTGGGCTGTGCATGTTTTTCTTTTTTAGCCTGTAATATGAGATGTTGCTAACTTATTTTTTTAATTATCCTGACTTGATATATTTCCTATGGACTTAATGGATTTACGTGGTCCATGTTTTTCATTAAGCTCGTTGCTTCACTGGGCACTCGAACTCCCAAACTAATTTATAGCTGACAGTTAGGTGTAGTTGCAAAAGCCTTCTAGCAAACAGGATTAACAAAATCCCTGTCTTCTGCACTAATCTTATACAAAGCTAGAGTAAATCCAGCACTTCTGATAGCTTGGTCTGTTGGCAGCCAGCGTGATAACAGGCACAACTTCAGAAAGCTATTGAACGTCTTCCCCCATTGATGCTTTTTTTTCAGGTGTCTCTTGACCTGAAAATATCATCCCTTGTGAAATTTTCTGTTAATAGGGTAATTCTGTTGCTTTATCTGCAGTTTCCTCTTGGATATTTGGGATAAGCTCTTTAAAGAATTACGTACAGGACATCTGTAGATAAAGCACAGAAGCTAAATAGCACCAAAACGGCTTCTCATTAATTGTGAATTCTGTCTTTCCTCCCTGCAGGTGGCTGGGAAGGATCTGCCACGTTCAAGATGACTTTTTCAGCTGGGGGTGCTATCGAGTTTGGACAGCGTATGCTGCAAGTGGCATCCCAAGGTACAGGAGCCTAGTGGTCTCTGCCACTTAGTTTTGTGGTTTTGGGAGGCCTTGCCTTAATCTTACAGCAGTGGCAGTTTTAATTCGGAACAGGTTGGATTCCAGTCCGTGTGTCAGGCTGTATCTTCAACTTACTTGCTTTAAAAAAGCATTTTTTTTTAAACAAGCAGTGTTTTTATAGGATTGGAGTTTATTTATTTTTTTTTCGGATGAGGACTCTTAGTTTGTTGTAGTTCTTGGTCTGCACGTTATGCAGGTTTGATGTTCTGTTGGGGTGAATTTATCTTTACTTCTTTAGCTTCCAGAGGTGAAGTGCCCAATGGAGCTTATGGCTATTCCTATATGCCCAATGGATCCTATGCTTTTGCACCACCTGCAGCTAATGGGGGCTATCCATACCCACCACCTCCTCCTGGTAAGTCTGAGGGTTGAGAACAGGGATTATTCTAGTTAGCAAAAATTTGAATAAGTAAAAAAGGGTAAGAAATACTAATTTGACATTATCTCTGACATTAGATCTGATGCCTTGTGCAACTTCTTTCTCAGTGTATTTGCCTGTGGCTGTTTTTGGCGGTGTGCTGTGACCCACCCAAAGGAGTTAAGCCTTTTGCTGTGTTATCTCCTTTCCTGACAGAGTTTTATCCTCCCCCTCCTGTTGGGGGTGCAGATATGGGTTACATGCAGCTTCCCCCCCCGCCGTACCCGGGGCCCATGGAACCCCCCACCAGCGGTCCTGATCTGCCTTCCACTCCTGCAGGTAAGAGTTGTCTTCAGGTGAATGAGCTCACAGCTGCTTTATAACATCCGTAGCACTGGTGTTGGGGAGAAGTGGGCAGACGTTCTCTGGCATCGCTTCTTGACAACAGCTGTGCAAAAATGTATAAGGAGTCGTTGTGTAAAAGGCTGAGGCTGCTGAGCATCAATGTTACTGCTCAGAAAAGTCATGTAGCTTTGTTACCCTCACTGAGCTTTCATGTCTTACCTCTCGGGGAACTCAGAGTCAACTTAGAAGCTCCACTTAAGTTATAATTGTTTAGGAGAGAGGGGGCTTAGGGAGCTCCCCTAATCTTCAGCCTTGTATATCCAGCTCAGTGTGGAGGCCAGCCTGGTTCTCACCACTGCCATCAGCAGATAGTTTGCAGTTGGCTGTATTCTCGTTGTGACAAGAAAAAACAAACTAACAAACAAAAAGCCCACCCAACACTTGTGATTCTGTTGTGGTATTCTTGCTCTGTTAGGTGAATAAAAAGAAATTGACGTTGCAATTGATGTTGATGTTTCTTGCCTGTGCTAGTTAGCAAATACGCCTTTGCTGATACCTGCTCCCTGTTCTCCCATTTCCCTCTAACCTGCTTGCTTTTGCCTTAAACAATTTGGGACTGAGGAACAGATAATGGAAAGGAGCTGGGGAAAAGTCAGTCTTGTTTTTATTCATTTTGGATTTATCAAAATGATTTGGAACATGATTTTGAACAGTCTGCATGTGGGAAAAAATGAGAAATTAGCTTTTGTGGCTGGACAGAACCATAGATTTCTCATAGATAAGGACACTTATCTGAGTAAGCTTAACTGGTCTCTGGTTTGAATAAATGACCCATCATCATTGAACTATTATTTGGAAGATGGCACTGATCCAGATGGGCGTACAGGACTTTTATATTCCGCAGAAATAAAGGATCTGGATTGTCTTTATAAATTACCTCCTACTAAGTAAATCCTCTGAGCTGCTATAAACTTGTGCTGATTTTTGTTTTGTATCCTCCCGAGAAGGATGGTTGGTTGACTGCCTTTTTAAGGGTTATGGTCTGTATTCAGGCAAAACAGCTGTTAGTGTTTATATGTGGGCTAACAAGCAACTTCCAGGTGACATTTCCAAACTAAGTCTTGGTCTGTTTCGCCTCTCTTTTGACAGTCCTGTGGCAATTGAATCTTTGCTGTTTGGAAGAGTTACTGCTTGGTTGTTGTGTTTATGTTGCAGCTATTTTGGAACTTGAGGGTTGTTAAGATAGTGCTTTGTAACAGTTAATGGCCAAGACTGTGGAGTTTTGATTATAAAATTTCTTTGTATGTCACCAAATCTGTAACTTCTGTTTCCGTGACAGCTGAAGCGAAAGCTGCTGAAGCTGCTGCCAGTGCTTACTACAACCCAGTCAACCCACATAACGTCTATATGCCCACGGTAAGTTCCTCTATCATTTTTTTTTCAGTTTGAGTGTTTGCTGTCTGCAAAACTAGTCCACGTTTCCATCAAGGAAACTGGTCTATGCTAAAATCAAGTTTCTGGAAGGGTTTTCTGCTCATGAGAGAGTCACAATCATGTACAAGTAGCAAAGGTTCCAAAGTACCATGTTGTGTTAGCAGTTCTTTTTCTCAGTGACACAACAAAGTTTGTCTTAATCGATTGCTTTGTTTTGTTTCCCTTAGCTATGAATTGATGTTCTTTTATTTCTGTCTTTACTTCAGGACCAGCCACCCCCTCCTCCCTACTTCCCACCAGAGGATAAGAAAAACCAATAAGCTACCACAGAACTTCTCCACGACTCATCGCTTTCTTACTTCCCATTTTGGCTGAATCTTGGGGCATGGTCCATAACACTGAGGAGTAGAGCCTTACCTCAAGGCACATGGCTTTCCTGGACTTTAGTGGTAGATATGTGCAGAGCAAGGGGAGAGAATTCAACAGCCTTGGTACCTCGTAGAGCTCTGAGGGTTTGTCGTCCTACCACAGTATTCCCTTCTCCCTGTGCACGCCATCACTAGAACTGGAGGTTGTCTATGTGATAGTTTCCTTTGTCTGTTTTCTTTCATACTTAAATTGTACCTCTTTAGAGTAAGCACCTGCTCCAGACTCATAATTAATAAGCTCATAACGTAGGAACAAGGTTGTTGAGGGGTCTTGACTTTACCTTGGTGTGCAGCCAAGACTATCTCTGGACACAGGGATGTCTCTGGGTATCCCTCTCAACCCAGAGAGTCACATCCAACTTTTCCCTCCCCTACCAAGAAAGGGCTTCAAAAGGAACCTTTGGAATCTCAGAGGAAATAGGTATCTATTAAATTTAGCAGATATCTATTAAACTTATTTTCAAATAAGTTGTTCCTAACCATCACGACAAATAATCCGATAACCCTCCAAGTTTTCCTGCTGTGCACTATGGTGATGCTGACAAGTTTCCTTTTTTTTTCTTTTAGGAAAACATACTGCCCGTGGCTGATTAGTAGCATCTAACTAGTTACAGATCATATGGGAACACTAATTTTCTGTTGTCTCTTTTTTCCAGTTAGATATGTGGGCTTTACTAAGTCCTGGGTATTGTCTTTATAGTCATTAATGCACTTTTTTTTTTTTCCTCTGCTGTAACACAAGTTACACCTTTTGGCCAGTGAAGCATCTTAATCCTGTGGTTTAACTGGTGAATTTATAGGTAATAGGGAGAAAATAGTTGCTTCTGCCCTGGAAGCACTTGAGAGAATATGCAAAAAGGTGGAATAAGTTGTTGGGTATAACTGAGCAGTTGAATGTTGTTTAATGCTGTTAGTGTTCCTGGATCAGCTGTGAATTCACTTTTCAGTAACTGGAATGTCAGCTCCCTGGAGTGAGGGTTCAAGCATTTTCCTTCCGTGACGTTGATTCTTTGATCTCATTAGCAATGACTGTAGTGCTCAGAACCTCTGCAGGACTGGGCAGTAACCAGGTTGTGAAACTGCGTTGTACAAAGCTTTGCACAAATCAGATTTTACTGACTTCTGACAGCGTCTGTGAGAGAGAGAAGATCCGTCCCAGCAAGTGTGAAGAAAGATCATGTGCTAGGGAGGTGCTGAGACTTACTGCATGCAGCCTGCTTGGAGAGAAAAACGGTCCACCTCTTGTTTTCTTTTCATTTGAGTCTAGGTGATTAATGGAATTGCTACTCTCTGTGCACTGACTTTTCTAGAATTGCTACTGCAGTGATGTAAAGAAATGGTTATTTTAAAAAATATATATTTATTTTGAAGATGTTTGATTAATATATTAATGTGAAATGACTTTTGAATGCAGATTTGTTTTGCTGAGACTGTGAAGTAAAGAGAAATCAGCTCAAAAATGAGTGTAGTGCATTTGTGTGTCTCAGTGGGCAAAGTTGGCAGTGACTTAGTAGCTTTGGATGGGGGCAGAGGGAATTTAAACAGCAAAATTGCTTGGCACAGAGGGATTCTTGCATTGGCTTGTCATTGGTGGCATTAGTCACTTGATTTCTCTTGAATTGGGCTTACTTTGTGAAATGATAATCAGGTGTTAAATCTTTACAAATGCCCATTTCCTGGATCCTGTTGTAAATTGGTGACGCAGCTGCTCAACATTTTACTAAGATTGTTGTTTTTTCCAGACTAGTTGTCCTTGTAATCCTTTGCAATCTATTGCTGAAAGTAGTTGTTGAGGAGCAAAGAGTTAGGAGACAGCGAAAAATTAGTGCCTCTAAAATCTGTCTCTAATTACCAGACAACAACAATCCCTGATTTTATCTTTTTTTTTTTTTTTTTTTTTTATAGTGTTCTGAGATGTCTGGACAGCTGTGTTCAGCTAGGTCTGAACTCTCTAAGGTGGTGTGTTTCTACCCAGTAGCTCTTCCTGGAAAACCAGGAGCCAAACTTTGCTTGGCTTTGTTCTTTTTCTGAGCTGTAAGGAGCCACCTCAAAGTTCTGGCCCAGCTGTTGTGGACATCTTCCAAATTCTGCTCTTCTACATCATATTTGTCCTCCCACGTAACTGTTTTACTGAGTTTTAACTGTTTTAGGCTGGCCCATCTACTTGGGATTGTTTTCCGTAGCAAGAGGTGGGCGGAGAAGGAAAGCACTAAGATAGATATTAAGACAGATGTTACAGCCCAGGGAGAATGCAATAAATCCTGTTTTGGGAATTAAATTACTTCAATTCTAGATTTCTTGAATAATTATCAGTCCTACTGTAAGACACTGCAGGAAGCTGCTGCTGTGGTTCTGTCAAACCACTCTGTACTCCAGGGCTCCTACTCTGTTTCAAAACATCTGTGTCCCACTTATTCTCTACTCCCAGACAGATATTCCTAGAAAACCGTTTGTACAAAGCCTCCAGGTCTCTAGCCCAGCACGACTTACACTACAGCTCTCATGCAAGCAATCAGCACAAACATGAGTTGTTTTATTTGTTTAATTATTTTTAGTTTCCTTCCACAACCAAGTCTGCTTGAGAGAAGAAACATTTAGCTACTTGTTTGGATGAGAACTTGGCTCTCATGAGCCATGGCTCCAACAGAGTCTTTTCCATCAGGGCAGGCAAGTGGTAAGATCTGCAGGGAGACCACGATGTTTGCTGCCTTAAAAAATAAATAAATGAGTGGGTGGGTCAGGCTAGAAGAAATAAAGGACGTGTTTCCTTAGTGAGCTAAATCAGTGGCTTGTCAGTGAATGCTAGACCTCAGCGTAGTCTTTGGGGAGGAGAGAAGGAGCAAGCCAAAAACGAGATTGATCGTGGTTTTCTTGGTACATTTGGAGCAAGATGGTGAGGATTGAAGCAAGTTTTGGTGATGCTGAAGCTGTGGGGGCCAAAAGGCCAGGCTAGTCACGCAGTATGGCTCGTACTGGTGTTAGGTTGAGCGGCGCTGCACGATTTAGGAGGGCGCAGGTTTTGGCCAGCTAGATGCTGATGAGAATCTGTGCCTTGCTCATAAAAACCTGAAAACCCAGATTTGTCTTGGGTAATCAGCACTCGCTGGTAGCTCCCTGATGGGAAGAGTGAGCAATGCTCAGCTTTGTAAAGGGCTTAGAGGGGGTTCAAGGATCGCTTGGTCCCAGGGCCAGATTTTAAGTACTAAAGTAGAAAAGTTGTACTGAAAGTTGTCTTCTGCTCTGGAAGTGGAGACGGGAGTAGGGCAGGAGGAAGTGTACATGAGGATGTCTCCAGATCTAATCTGTGCTTGAGTGATTCATCAGTTATGTGGCAGAAACACTGGCCTATGAAAGCTAAATCCAAGCCATTAAATCCTAACGTTTGGTTGGTACTATGCCCTTGAACAGACAGGCAGGGAACAGTTAGTGTTAGTAAATCTTTTGGCATAGGCGGTACGTGTACAATTGGCTTCTGGATGTGACGTTGGATCTTTGTTTGAGAAGTCCCTCACGTGCCCTCCGGGCCTGCTTCCCCTCCCCGACCATGGGGCTATTTCCCTCCTTCGCTGTGGTGTGGTGAAACTGGGTATTTCTAAAGTG